GTGGGGCTCCCCAGCGGGTGGAGAGACCTGCGGACACTAGTCCAGAGATGGCCGCCGCCAGCAGCGATGAGCATGTAGGCGATGTGGCACACAGGTTTCAACTTCTCCGGGCACCTCCGTGTGCACAGACCCGAGCCACACGGCAGGCGCCATATTGCATCCTCCTCCCTCCGCGACCCTACCTCGGCTGCCCAGAGAGACAATACAGCACAGCCGGAGGCACTCCAGGGAACGGGACCTTCCCTTTTGGGACCCTACAGCTGACTCAGGGGAACTCAGACTGTGAGCTCCCCTACCGCCAGTCTCCAGGTGCTGCTGGCACGGGTGTTCCCAGGAGAACGTGCCGACTCAGAGCTGAGAGACATAGACCAGCTTGGGGCTCCCTGTGGGTGATTAGGACCGGAACTCCTCTCCCTGGTGGGGATATAGTTGAACTCTGGACCAGAGGTCGTATGCAGACCAGATCCCCTGCACGAGGCTAGATTGCCCGGGCACAGAAGGGTTATATGTGAACAGCCTATGAGGTGTGTGGTGCCTCCAGGGGCGGATCAGTTATCCTAGAGAGGCAAACCTCCTCGCCAGGCAGGAGCATGCCCAACCATGGTGGCATTCCTGTGGAGGAACTTCCTGCCAGCACATCACAGTCTGAGGAGCCTGGTGGACTGTGTGCTAGCTGCTGAGCGAGGCCAGAGAGGTAGATGCAGGGCCAGATTGGGAAGAGGTGGAAAGAAGCAGAGGCCCGCTCCAAGACAGCAGGTTCTCAGACAGCCCCACCCCACACCAGACTTTCTGGCTGAGCGGGACATTCCAGCCCCACCCTGAAGCTATTCTGGAAGCAGAGAACAGAACTTTGACCCCGGTGGGAGGGGGGAGGGGGGCGGGTATATACATACATAATGAGTGAGATGTGCACCATCTGGGGGATGGTCATGATGGAGCCTCAGACTTGTGGGGGGAGGGGGGAAATGGGCATTTATTGAAACCTTAAAATCTGTACCCCCATAATATGCTGAAATAAAAAAAATTTCTCAGATAAAAACATTTTAAAAAAACCTAAATATCTAGTTTTTTTGTCTTTTCTTTCATAGGTTTAGAAAAATATATCTGCTTCATTTGGGGTTCCAAGGACACACAATTTTGCTGTTATGGTTGTAGTTAGTGCCTGTAGTTCTGAGGAAGTGTCTCAGGAGTGGAGGATGAATAATAATGCTTCCACCTAAGTCGACACGGGCTGTAAGGCATAGAAGTAAGTTGACTCAGGAAATTGGAGCCCCAAGGCTGCCCTGGTAGGCAAAACATTCATGTGGCATATTTATAAAATCATAACAAAATTTTGTTTTAAAGACAATACAAAATCCAGTGGATGTAAGGCTTATTTAAACTCTTAGACTGTGCATCTCATCTCTGTTTATTGGGTGCAGCTGAGGAGACGATGCCTGTGGCATCGCCAGGGCCGGTTCCGTGACCAGGCAATTGAAGGGTGCTCACAGTCACAGGACTGCAAATTGGGGGAGATGCACCACGGTCATTTGTTGTGACGTTTGCCTGGAGTAGAGACTTTGTTGTCTAAAGTTTTCAGTCTTGTCAGGTTGTCCCATATATAGAGAGAGCAAGCAGGCTTTTCTTGGAACTTTTGTTGTCTGTGCTTGTTGGAGTTTCTGGGTTTCTGTACTGTTCTCTGCCACTCAGGCTGAACTATATGGGGCTAAAGAAAACCCAGGAAATTTGCTGCCATGTTGGTTCTTGAATCCCACGGCTGCGGCCAGCCTGCCTTCTTCCCTCCAGCCTTTAGGGCAGGGGTCCTCAAACTTTTTAAACAGAGGGCCAGTTCACTGTCCCTCAGACCGTTGGAGAGTGCGGCGCACATTCCGCACATGCGCACTGTGGGCCCAGGACAAGTCGGCTGCTAAGCAGGACAGGCAGCAGAGGCAAAAACACCCAGCAGGCCGGATAAATGTCCTCAGCGGGCTGCATGTGGCCCGTGGGCCATAGTTTGAGGACACCTGCTTTAGGGCCTTCTTGTGATGTTCATTTCATACATGATGTCTAGGGTTTTAAGCTATGTTTAGTGGGATAGGGTAAACAAAAGTACACCTACTCTGTCTTTCCTGAGTCTGAGTTTATTTTTACATAGGATATCTGCAAAGAATGATTTGCCTTGATACCTGGACACTATTATGTGCTGTTTTTTTTTTTTTTTTTTTTCACATTGCTACCTTCGAAAGCAATCTTGAAGGTATTTGTTCATATTACAAGCAGGATGTTCTAAAAATAGGGGCTTGGAATACCACATGTGGCTTTCTTCTGATCTTTTTTGACTTAATGTGCACCACTTAAAAGTGTGTCTGTTTTTGCGAAAAGTTTATTCAGGTTGTGCAAAGAACAGAGTGAAGCTATGAATCTCAGGGTTCAAGGGGCAGTTCCCGGCTGGCCTTGGACCACCCTGCTCCCGTATCTAGAGAAAGGTCTCAAAAACTTACAGTCTCTTCGAGGTCCTCAACTTCCAGCTTTTCCATGTGCTCCTCTGTTACATTATTCCAGAAGTTCACTTCAGAAAGTAATTCCAGGTCTTTCAGATTTGGATGGCACATCAAAAGGAAGGCATTTGGAAAGGGGAACAAAAAGAATTAAAAAATTATTTTGAAAAAGAAATAGATTTATGGAATATACCCTTACCCTTCAAAAAATGCATACATTTGTCACAGTGACAAAGATTCTTTGCGTGATCAAACTTTTGTCAGGCTCCTGAACCTTCTCCCAGGCCCACCTGTGCACTTCCTTGAACAATCCATTTTTAGCAAAAACCCTGGTAAGTCAGTTTAGCAAGAACCACCCCCCACCCCGCCCTTGATATCCGATCACCATCTATCGTCCAATCAGGTTCCTCCTCCTCCACCACCCTTGGGCGCTGTCTGGTCACTATGGCCTACCTCAACCAATCTGCTAGGTTGGTTTAGCCAGAATCCCACTTTCCCCTAATGTTTCCTCTTAGTAATTTTCCATCCACTGACCCCTCCCCTCACCCTGCTCCTTGATTATCAAGTCCCACCTGCCCATTGTATTTGGAGTCGAGCCAACTCTCTCTTCCCTACCGCAGAATCCCATTGCTGTGGTCCCGGTATCACGCCAGTCCTGAAGAAAGTCTGCCTTACTGTGCTTTAACAAGTGTCATCGAATAATTTTCTCTTTACCAATGGATGGGAAAAGGGAGGGAAGAAGCAGAGAGTGACCAGCCCAGGGCCAGCTCTGAGAGAGGAGCCACCCAGCCCCACTGATTAAGGAGCACACAGGTGGAACTCAGTCCTGCTTTCACCTCCTCCACGCTGCAGGTGGTGAATTCCCTGTGATCCCAGGCAGGTGGGCCAAAGGATGGGTGGGGCTAGCGGTTGCTTTGTGCACGAATCTATAAGCTGTTTGAAAACCTTGCTACTCAAAGTGTGGTCCATGGATCTGCTTCGGGGAGCTGGTCAAACAGGCCCGATATCGGAGCTATTTCATCAGAATCTGCATTTAAACAAGATCCCCAGGTGATTGCCCCGAACGTTACAGTTAGAGCAGTGTGGCTCTGAAACCCCCACGAATCAGATTAAGACTGAGGAAACTGTGTTTATCAGTACCCTTCTAAGTGGGCGGTGGGGCCATGGGACGCACAGTTTAGAGTTTGAAAGAGTTTGTTTGATATTGGTGCATGTGTGTCTGTAAAACCTAATCCCTCTGTCCACACCCCCAGGCTCAAGTACAACAGACCATAGTCTTTATTTTTTTTTATTTTTATTTTTTTTCTAACTTTCCTCTTCTACTGGATAGACCATAGTCTTTAAATTGTTTCCCAGTGGGGATGAGTCTCCTTAACTGCAGGCTTTTGTTTTGTGGAGTGGGATTCTACCTCCCGGAAGATTCTCTCCTGTCCTACCCCCTCGTAGGATTCAACTAACCCCTTCTTGGTAGACATTTAATAAATACTTAAGGGCATTGTTTGTATGCACTTTAATTTATTCGCTACCAAATTGCAATAGGCCCCGAGTCTATCTAGGGAGGGGCACGCAGCCCTGGCGAACCCTGCTTGCCAGACTGCAGGAAACCCAGCACCCAATTGGACACTCTTTAATTCGGGAGTCCCTGTACCAGGGCTTTTGAGTAGAGGGATGGACTTCTGGCCCTGTTCTTTAGGAGGTTCTAGGGCTTTGTGGTCAATATGTCCCTAGGTTCCTTCCAGGACTTGTGGCAAGCTGGACCAGCAAGGGATCCACCTACCCGGGGCACCGTCCCCAGCCCAGGACACTCTGCAGAAAGCAGGGATCTTTGGATACATTATGTTGGCCTCTTACCATAATCTTCCTCTGACTCCACTTTAGGGACAACAGGCACTGAAAAAGAATAAGAAGAATTATGAATAAGATGTGGGATGGTGAACTAACTAGCCTGGACCCTTTACTCCCTGATGGAATCAATTTAATAACCATCTCCTAAATAGCTGGGGAGACTCAGGGTGGAGGTCATGCATTTTGGCATAAGAGGCTTCCTTGATCTTCAGCAGGTTGAAGCCTGAAGCACATGCTCAATGAACACTCATTCTCCTCCCTCTGTTCATGTCACCTTGCCCACTAGAGTTTATGTTCTGAGAGGAGGAGGTCGGTTTTGACCATCTTTATATATGCCCAGTATACTGTAGGGGTACCTTAAATGTCACTGAATGATCTAAGTATGAGTAACACCATTATTTGCCCTCCTCTTGGCAGTGGTAAATATTGTTTCCTCCCCTTTCGAACCTGCAGAGCTCTTTTTACTCTTGGGCTGCGTGTCTTGCCTGAGCCTTGACACTAAATTCCAGCGACAATGCTTTGGCCAAGTGGCCTTAATTAAGGCTGCCCTGGTCTCAAATGGTCAAAAGTGGGCTCTCCCTGACTGGGGGCATGCTAATTTGGTGCTTCTTACCTTCTCGTGGGTGGATCAGTAACTTCTACATGTCATTTAAATTCATTATATTATAAATTATACCTTCTTGTTCCATGGTGGCTTCTTGCACTGTTTGTAATGTCCATCTTGGAGATGGTTCTATTAAAAGGCAGAAGAGGTTTGGGCATTAATGATTTTCACCCTACACTTTCCAATGGGCTTATATTGGAGATTTGGGGTCTGAGGTTCTTTCTAGGCCCCCAAGGAAGATGGACAATGGGAAGGACTTTGGCTGGTGGGCACAGCTGGCACACATGGATGCCCATCCCGCCTCCTCCTCCCCCTGCTCCTCCCCTTCGGTGGCTTTGGTAACTTACTCTAGGAGTGCAATAAATCAATGGTCAGAAAATGTAGCCCCTCTGTGACCTTCTCTGGTCACCCCAGGCTAGTTTAGGTCCCCCAGATAGCTGGAGCGGCTGGGGTGGATGTGGGGAGAGACCTTAGAGAGATTCCTCCTGCTGTAGGAGCCACAGAGCCAGGTGGCTCCAAGGCCATGTGGACACGCAATGAGGTGTGCCTGTCACCATGGGAGGCGGGCATCTCTGTGTTCTGTTGCCAAGAGGTGCATAACAGGAACCGGCTGGGAGACCTACGGGCTGGCATAGACCCACTGGGATTTGCAATGGGAGGCTACTGTATTTTTCTAGGACTTTTGTAAGTTCTTGGTTACTCTTGTTTTCTGTCTTCTGGAATTTTGTGATCCCTGCTTTTTTTTTGCCACCATCCAGCCCCATTTGTTCTTTTCCCCCACTCCTAAACACATGTGTGCACCCATGTGCGTGCACACACGTGCACATACACACCCTCCATTTCATTTTTATTAGCAGGGGCTAGCAGGTTCATGGTGACAAAGCACAATGACTCTATTTGCTTATGGGAGTGTCCACATTTGTGACTGGCCCATGGCGTGGGGAGCAGAGGCTCCAGGACAAGCGTTGCCCCAAGGCCTATGGGGTCTGCAGTGTGGGCCCAGCGCCTCTGCAGACAAGGGCTCTGCAGTGTCAAGAAAACTCACTGTACCGTGGCATCGTTCTGCTAGGATGCATTTCCTTACAATGTTTCCCTGAGATTCCATCAGTGGTCCTGTTCTAGCCCCTCAGTCCAGGTGGGGAGTCTTGGTTTTGTGTGGCAGATTGTCAAATATTTAAAGTCAATTTTCGTATCTCAGAGTCACGTGTCTTCCAGACTTAACATCCCCTTTTGCTTCGACAGTTCCTTGTAGGATGTAGTCTCCGGGTGTGCTGAACGCCAGCCCTTCCTCTGAGCCCCCACCAAGCTGCTTCCGGCTCTCAGAGAGTGTGGAATCCCCCAAATAGAACACGCTGTCCCAGGGCTGGCCTTCCAATGCAGGGCAGAACAGCACTAAATCCCCCCCCACACACACACCTTTTTTTTTTTTTTTGAGACAGAGTCTTGCTTTGTTACCTGGACGGGAGTGCAGTGACATCATCATAGCTCACAGCAACCTCAAACTCCTGGGCTGAAGTGATCCCTCTGTCAGCCTCCTGAGTAGCTGGGACTACAGGCCTGTACCACCAAGCCCAGCTATTTTTTTCTATTTGTAAAATTTTTTTTTGTAGAGATGGGGTCTGACTCTTGCTCAGGCTGGTCTTGAACTCCTGGCCTCAAACCATCCTCCTGCCTCGGTTTCCCAGAGTGCTGGGATTACAGGCGTGAGCCATCATTATAACCTTTTAGTTGTGTTTGGTTACGTTAACTTTTCTGGCAATCACATTAGTTATCTATTGACTTGCTGAGTGTGGTTGAGTAAAGCATCTAACAACAAATGGGACTTCTCCACCCTGTATTCTCCATCCTGTTGTTTTTGGAGGGCTAATAAATAGCAGGATTTAATATCAATTGCCAGCATCTTTTGTCTAGCTAATTCTGGTCTGACGTTTCTGCCTGTCAAAATCTTTTAGGCCAGGCACGGTGGCTCACGCCTGTAATCCTAGCACTCTGGGAGGCTGAGGCGGGCGGATTGCTCGAGGTCAGGAGTTCAAAACCAGCCTGAGCAAGAGCGAGACCCCCATCTCTACTATAAATAGAAAGAAATTAATTGGCCAACTAATAGATATAGAAAAAATTAGCTGGGCATGGTGGCGCATGCCTGTGGTCCCAGCTACTCGGGAGGCTGAGGCAGTAGGATTGCTTGAGCCCAGGAGTTTGAGGTTGCTGTGAGCTAGACTGACGCCACGACACTCACTCTAGCCTGGGCAACAAAGTGAGACTCTGTCTTAAAAAAAAAAAAAATCTTTTAAAATCTGATTATGTTATCCTCATCATCCAATGGCCTCAGGGCATCTACAAATATAAATATTCCTTCTACATCTGCGTCCAAGTCTATCATAAAAGTGTTGCACTGGACAGAGCCCTGTGGTTCCCCACTGGAAACTGGGCTGACTCTGATCCACTAAACAGCATCTCAGTGTGGTGTTCAGTCAGTTACTGCCACTGATGATACCAGCTTACGCTAGCACCCGCCTACTGTTGCTCCATCTTGTCCGGGTACCTCGGGATGCCTTTGGAAATAAAATGCCATATGGAATTTGCCCTTATGGGGTTTCCACAGTTCCCTCATCTAATAACCTTATCAAAAAGGGACCCAAATGCTAATATTACATGATTTGCTTTTATTGATCCCAGGCTGGTTTCTTATGGTCATTTCGCTCTCAATATTTGTCCCAGATGGGTCACAGACTCATTTCCCCAATCTCCCACAATTTCTCAAAAACTGGAAACATGATTAAGCTATTTTCTCTATATATTCTGGGGCATATTTTATCTAGGTCAGGAGATAGCAGTTAGCATTCTTTTCTGATTTTTTTTCCCTCCAATCTTTGGTTTTTGCTGTTTCTTATCTAATATTCTTGTACCCTTTTCCATCTGAGGATAATTTTCCTTCACAATGAAGTCAAAATTAAACAGCAATTGAAGAACTTGACTTTCTCTGAATCATTCATCAACAGTCGGAGCCTACCTATCTTGATCTTTTTGCCCCACTTGTAATTTAAAAGGGCCTCTATCTTTGTTACTGCCTGTACTTATTATTATTGTTACTTTTTGGTAAGAATGTTTACCCTGGGATTCAGCTTTCCTAACACTATTCTTAAAGTTCCGAGCCATTTTCTTATATTTATTGTCAGGAACATCCTAGTCTTTTTAACCACTGCAAATGCTCTTTCAAAATCCAAGTCTACAGAAGGAAAACCTGTGCAAATACACTAGCTTGCACTTTGGGGAGCTTTCCAAACTTCTCTTCTGTCTGGCCAAGTGGCTCGAAGTATCACATCCGCCCTCTCTGTTAATCTTCACCCACATTTCTCTACATACAGCGTCTGCAGGTACACAGATTTCTATCTATAGCCCCCTTCCTACCAACACTATTTATTTGAAGTAGGACTGACCCTTTTATCACCATGATGCGATCTTGAATCAGGTGAGGGTTCAACAACAATTTCACAAGTATTTAACAGATATTTATGAGTACTGACTGTGTGCCAGGCACTAAGTCTTGAGGATTTCTGCAAGCGTTGGAAATAACGCTCTGGGTTAGGATTTCTGGTCTGCTTGGTTTACGACCCTGCTCTGTGCCTGGATAGATACACACCTGAGGTCATAAATAGTGTTTCCGGGCCTTCTGAACGCCTCCTCATATGGATCACGAGGTATTCTCTGTGCCTTTGGCAGTCTTTCCATGTCAGCCCTGCCACCCTCCGGAGTAATAGGTTTCAGGGATTTATCTGGGTGTTTTTCCTCCATATTTGGCTCGAAGTTCTATTTGTCGAGAACGGCCGTGCCATGTGAAACTCTGCCTCTGACCCGCTGGGGTTGAACAATCCCATAATAAAAACGCGCTTTAGAAACAGGAGCCCAGCACCCATGAAATTCATCCAAAACTAGAGGTTCTCTGGCTCTCCCTTGTTTTTGTGCCTGAGAAGCCTCTGGGGATCTCGTTAAGAATGCAGATTTCGGGCTGTCTCGGACAGGGGTTCTCATAAAGGCTAGGAAGCTGCATCTTCACAAGTGCCCGGCAACAGGACACAAGGGCAGGGTCTCACACACAGCCTTCTCGGGTCCCCTTTCTCCCCTCCCGTGTCCTTTCAAGCTTGACACTGGCACTTCACCAGCGATTACCCAGGAAATGACTTTCAGAATCCTGCTCATGAATATTTAGAGAAATGCTCAGATTTTCCCAGTGGTCATGCTCACTGACTGTGCAGTGGTTCCAGTTCTTGGGGCTCCCTGAGAGCACACGTGCTGACAAACGTCCCAAGTGAACCAGTGTCGCCTGTCACGTGCTGGGCCTGTCCTCTGCCTCTCCATCCTCTTAGAGGGTTGTAATGTCATTCATTTAAGCACATTTCAGCTACAAAATGGAGCAGGCACAGATAGGGGCAGGGAGGTGAGGTGACCGGGGAATCTAATTTACTGCTTCCATGACTACAGAAATAAATCTGTGAATTAGTGATGGATCGATCCCACTAAGGCAGGATTTAAATGATTAATCATGGCGAGACACGCTGTTCAGTCCCCAGGACCCTAGAGTGAGGGGTTTGGGGGCTTAATTGGGTGGAGAATTAAGACCTTTAATGGAATCTTGCTGGATTCTCTCCTGTGTGTCTCCTAACTGTTGCCACGGAGGTTTGCTACACGGGTGGTTTTGGTGGCACTGCATCAGGCCGGCGCTGCGCTGCGTATGGGGGGCTGAGACAGTTGGGGGTCTGAAATCTGGGTGACGTCTGAGGGTGGCTGAGCCGTTGGGGGACTGAGCTGTCTGGGGTGGCAGTCTGGGGGATGGACCGTCTGGGACTGGCCAGTCTGGGGTGGCAGTCTAGGGAGCTGGTAGTCTGGGGGCTGGCGACTGAGGGGGGACAGTCTGGGGCTGGACGTCCTGGGGGGTCTGAGACGTCGAGGGGGGGCTGGACGTCTGGGGGGCTGAGACGTCTGGGGGACTGGTCGGGGGGCTGGAGTCTGGGGACTGAGACAGTTGGGGGGACCTAGACTCTAGGGGGGCTGAGACAGTTAGGGGCGAGACGTCTGGGGGCTGACGCTGAGGGGGCTGCGACAGTCTGAGGGGCTTGGCGTTGGGGGTTGGACTCGAGGGGCTGGACGTTGAGGGGGGGGCCTGGGCGTCTGGGGGACTTAGTGGGGGAGCTGAGACAGTTCTGGGGACTGGACAGTCTGAGGGGGGTGGACAAGTATCGGGGCTGGCGTCTGAGGGTGTCTGGACGTTGGGCTGAGCTTTCTGGGGGGTGGCAGTTGAGGGGGCTAGGACAGTTGAAGGGACTGAGACGTTCTGAGGGGGCTGAACGTTAAGGAGCTGGTTGGGGGGCTGAGAAGTCGAGGGGGACTGGACGTCTGAGGGCTGGATAGTCTGGGGGTGGACAGTGGGTGGGTGATACGTCTGAGGGGGCGGACTATGGGGGGCTGAGGCGTTGGGGGTTGGATGTTGGCTGGACGTCTGAGGGGGTGGCGTCTGAGGGGGTGACTGTCTGGGGTGAGACGTCGGGGGCGGCAGTCTGGGAGCCTGGAAGTCTTAGGGGGTGAGAGGTCTGGCTGAGACAGTCTGAGGGGGGCTGGGACTCTGGGGGTGAGACGTCTGAGGGGGTGATGACGTCTGAGGGGGACTGAGACATCTGAGGGGGGCTGGATAGGTCTGGCGGGTGGGACGTCTGGGGGGCTGAAACAGTCTGAGGGGGGCTGAGACAGTCTGGGGGGCTGAAACAGTCTGAGGGGGGCTGAGATAGTCTGGGGGGCTGAGACAGTCTGAGGGGGGTGAGACAGTCTGAGGGGGCTGAGACAGTCTGAGGGGGCCGAGACAGTCTGAGGGAGACTGAGACAGTCTTAGGGGGGCTGAGACAGTCTGGGGGCTGAGACAGTCTGAGGGGGGCTGAGACAGTCTGAGGGGAGTGAGACAGTCTGAGGGGGCCTGAGACAGTCTGAGGGGGACTGAGACAGTCTGAGGGGGCTGAGATAGTCTGGGGGGGGCTGAGACAGTCTGAGGGGGGCTGAGACAATCTGAGGGGGACTAAGACAGTCTGAGGGGGGCTGAGACAATTTGAGGGGGGGCTGAGTCCCATTGGCTGTTCTCCACCTGATTATGTGGGTTCGGCCTCTTACCCCAGGGAACCAGTTTGTAATCTGGGAAGAAAATGGCCTGTGTCGCTGAGGGAAACCGTGCCTGTGTTCATGTAGAACAAGAACAGGAAGATGAATGAAGGAACAGGGGAGGGGACGTGGAAGGAAAGATCGAAGAAGCTATTTGTTCCGGCTCTTTGCTCTGTGCTCTTTCTCCGAGGGGGGTCTGGGACGGGAGGAGGTGGGTAGCAGGGCTGGCAGAGGAGCTATTAACTTCCTACCCCAGGTATGACTGCAGATGGCACAGGAAGCAGTAGAGCATCGTTAGCATGAGAGAGAAGGCTGGAGCCACAACATTTGACAAAAATGCTGCAAGACCCACAGGCAGCGCAGCGGTGCAGCGGCCGGCAGGGTGCAGCCGCCCTTACCCTCGTAGATCCATTCTGTCTGACAGCCCTCCTCCCTTGTGCGAGATGTAGCAAACAGCGAGGACGAGTCGGGAGGCTCATAGGCAGCTTCATTGATCAGTGGGACAGCAGAGTAGGTGGTGACCGTAGAGCTGCTGGCAGTTGGGCTCCTGTCAGAGGGGAGCACAGGGTGGTCAGCTTCCGGACGGCCAGAGACTGGCACAGCTGACAGTTGAATGTTCTGGGACGTTCCCCTCCCTTCCTGGCTCACGACTCTGCTCATTCCAGCGGCCCCTTCTGCCTCACAGTAGCCCCAAGCAGAGTGGACCAAAATACCAAATCCCATGCCACAGCTGTTTAAAAGCAAGCACCGAGGTCTGTCCCTGCGCCAGGCCTACTGCAAACCCCGCCACCATCCAGAAAGTTTCCCAAAGGGCCTGAGGGCAGGGCCCTGGGTGTGAGGTGCAGGCCCTGCTGTCTGGCAGCCCAGGATCAAGAGAGGTGACCCCAACACCCCAGCCACACTGCGTTCGTTCTCGGGAATCCCTGGCTCTTACCTGGAAGCAAGAGACTGTAATTGGAAGGCATGAGAGGGGTCTTTGGGGGTGTTCAGGCCCTGGCATTATTTCATGTACACTGTCCCAGTGGGCAGAGACAGGCACAAGGGAAAACGCTCACCATATAAATGGGTGGTGACTGTGGCTGGTAGGAAAGACATAGACTTGGGTGCGAGATGACCTGAGCTTAGATGTCGGCCCTTGCATTACAACCGGGGTGCTCTGGGTAAGCTGTCTGTTTGCTGCTGTTCTCACAGGGTGAGTACAATGGACCCATTTCCTATCCGGGTCAGGGTTCCTGATGCAGGGATGGGGAGGGGGTTGAGGGCAGGAATCTGGGGCTCCAGTGAAGGGGTGAAGGGAGAGAGGCAGAGGCTTCTCCCCCTCCCCCACTTTACCGATGAAGGAAGTGAGGCACAAGGAGATTAAGCGGCTGCCCTGGCTGGGGGGAGGACTGGAGACCCAGTTCTCCATAACCTGTCAGAGGCCTTGCCCTGCCTCTGGAGGTACGAAGCGTGGAGCAGAGTGGTCAGTGCAGAGCTAGCTGGTCAAGGGCAGCCCTGTGCCCCCAAGTGGTAACCTGTGGGTTTCCTACTCAGCAAAGCTGGGGTTTCACTCCTGTGGCTTGTGCTTTCTTTAGATCTAGTGAGTGCCAACCCACTGGATGTGACACAGCCACAAGGCCTGGGGATCAGGAACCTTGTGTGCCCATATACTGGTTTCTCTGGGGCTGGGCACGCAGAAGGCATTTACTCACTTATTCCACAGATATTTTATTGACTGTCTAGTGTGAGCCAAGTCCTGTAGCAGGATTTTAATGAATATTCACTGGACTATAATTTGGGCCTTGGAAATATGCCCGAGCTTATTCTCTTCCTGGATAGATTGCAACTTCCTTTGCGGCATTCATTCATCTGTTCTCCTGAGAGCACAGCCCGCAAGCCCTCTGCTGTCCCTCCCTGGTTGAGACCTTCTCCCCAGACTCAGACGGCCTCTGCCCTTCCATTTCTGGCTGTTCTGGATGCCCAGGACTCTGAGCCTGGAACCTGTCCCTCTCTTGTGACTGAGTGGCAGTGTAAGCAGGGTTGTGGCTTCCAGGAGTCCCCACTACAGTCCTCCTTCCTCAGGGGACCTGTACCCCCAACCCTACCCTGCCCCACTCCCTACCCAGCCCTGCTCCCCATCTTTGGGTCTCCAAGGTGCCTAAAACATAGTTTCTAAGTGTGAGTTTCCACCTGCTTTATCCAAAAAGAAAATTATTACCTTGCATTAAGATGAAACTTGGTTTTTGATGCCACCCTGCATGCTATTGAAAAAAAGAACAGAAAAGCAATATTGGCAAAAAAAAAAAAGCATCTTTCTATTTAAAAATGTGTTGTTAAGTATGTGATGCTGCGGTTGGTATAGAAATTTTGTCTTTTCACTTTTCTTCAGTGTTATTTCTCTTACTGGTATCTGTGAAAAATTATTAGGTTGAAATTTTATAAAATTAAAGAGAACTCAAAAAGGTAATTTTTAAGAAATCATGGATGTTGGAAGCTTGAGTTTGCTTTGCTAATCTCTTCGGCTATCATAGAAGCCACTCTCTGTCTTGGGACAAAGGACATCTGTCTAGCAGAGATGACTGAGTTACAGAGGATATAAATGTTTTAAGAATTATTTTTAATTTTAAAGAATCTGCTTATATAATTTAATCACCTGATTTTCTCGAATGATATGAAGTCAGGAATTTTATGTGCAATTGAGATAAAAAAATGCCACCAATTCTAGCCATTGAGAATGGCAACAGTGGGAGCAATAGAAGAATGAGAATCAGAAAACTTGAATTTGAAACTGAAATGTTGAACACTTATACATATCCATAGTTTGCCCATGCAACAGAATATTATTGAGGACTATTACTTAGCTATTAAAATCATGTCTATAAAAATTAAGCCACATGAGCGAATGGTGAAGTTACAATACTAAAAAAGTAAAACACAAACTTGTATAAACAGCATGTTCAAAACAGTAAAAACAAAACAAAACCACACGAGAAAATCAAATCTAACACATCATGTGTATCAAAATACTATCAGCCAAAAATATGATGGCTCAAAATCAACGTACTGTGATATCTCCATAGCATACTAGCCACAGAGCATAATTCATCATTAGGAAGGTCCTGGGTTCTAATAAAAACAGAAGGGGTCTCATTATGGGGTGGTTTCATTCGATGGCATGTTCTATGGCAGCAGGAGAGCAATGTAGGTTAAACTTCTTTCTAGTACCTTCTTGCCTATGTGTTAAGGAGAGTATTTTTATACCTTACAATTATATAGTGTGGAGAGCTTTCAAAGCTACCAAATATGCAAAAAAATATGGGCAGAGGTACAGAAGGAAAATCACTAAAATGTGAATCAGCTTTATTTATATTTGGATGTTAGTAGGTTGGTGCATGTCTTTCTACTTTTCAGATTTTCCATATTTTAAAGAAATGAACAAGAATAGATTGTTTCTTTGATGTCACTCTTCTAAAATTAAAATATGCACACAAATCATTAAAAAGCAGAGACAAAGGATGAAAGGAAGAAGGCAGGAAGAAAAGAAAGAGAAGTCACTAGAAGAGAAGAGAAATTTGGGAGCCTGGGGGATCTTCTGGTAATTTTCTGTGACCTTGAGCTATGCACATACCCTCTTTCTAGCTCCAGGTTGCTCATTTGTGAAGTGGAAGGGAAGAGATTAATGGTTGGGAGAATTAAAGGAGAGGAAGATTGTGAAACATGCAATATGCACCCCATGCCATTGGACTGTGCTCCCCTACCTCCTTACACACAAGACAGATGCAGAACATGATGCTGTTTGTAGGCAGCACACTGAGGCTGGAGGCAACTGCCCTGGAGCTTAGCCACTCTCCCAACCCCAGGTGCTGACTCAAAATCCCAAACTGTGAGCATGAAAAGTTGGCCGGCTCTGCCATCCCTGCCTTATCTCTTGCACCTTTCTTCCAAAACACCCAGAGGAGGTTCCCTGTTGGAAATGGTCATCAACTCTCAATTGGAAATGGCAACAGAATCATAACATTTAGGCCAGACGGCACCCAGAGCTGCTGAGGAGCTAGCAGGGCAAAGAAAATCAAATCTAACACATCATGTGTATCGAAATACTATCAGGCAAAAACGTGATGGCTCGAAATCAACGTACTGTGACATCTCCATAGCATACTAGCTGCAGAGCAGAATTCATCATTAGGAAGGTCCTGGGTTCTAATAAAAACAGAAGGGGTCTCATTATGGGGTGGTTTCATTCGATGGCATGTTCTATGGCAGCAGGAGAGCAATGTAGGTTAAACTTCTTTCTAGCACCTTCCTGCCTGTGTGATAAGAAGAGTATTTTTGGCTGGGCCCGGTGGCTCACGCTGTAATCCTAGCACTCTGGGAGGCCGAGGCAGGGCGGTGCTGCGGAGTCAAGAGTTCGAAACCAGCCTGAGCAAGAGTGAGACCCTGTCTCTATTATAAATAGAAGAATTAAATGGCCAACTAATAATATATATAAAATTAGCCAGGCATGGTGGCGGCATGCCTGTAGTCCAGCTACTCGGGAGGCTGAGGCAGAAGGATTGCTTGAGCCCAGGAGTTTGAGGTTGCTGTGAGCTAGGCTGCCGCCATGGCACTCACTCTAGCCTGGGCAACAAGTGAGACTCTGTCTCAAAAAAAAAAAAAGAAGAGTATTTTTATACCTTACAATTGTATAGTGTGGAGAGCTTTCAAAGCATTTTCAGATATGTTACTTCATTTAACTATCACAACCACACTGGGAGAAAGGTGTTTTTGCACGTGAGGAAACAAAACTGAAACCTAGAGAAGGTAAATGACATGCCCAGGGCCACAGGTCCCACATGTGCTGGATCTTCGGACTCTGACACCATGGTGTTTGCACTACATCCAATATCTGGAACCTCCCTGGGAGGCCAGTCAGATGTGACTATTGATTATTTGCTGGCAATGGAGCTGCATTGATATCCAAGTTGCTTATCTGATTTTATTGGATTTCTCCATAAACCATGGGAGAAAACCACCCCTTTAAGGAAGAGATGAGCTTGGGGGTTGTTAGTCTGACCTGACCTGGCTTGTCCAGGGTGATGGGATGCTCTGAAATTGACCTGCCTGCAAGAGTAGATGGGTGGAGGATGCAGATTCCTCCCACACCTGAGTTCACTGCATGTTGTCTTTTGGTTATGTCCATCTCACAAAGGGGGACATGTGGCCAGGGGAGTGTGGCCAGTCACAAGTCAATGGTAGGAGAGTAATAATACTAAGACTACTAATAGCCAACACATAGGTTTAAAATGTGGTGTGCCTGGCATAGCTTATAATGCATTACATAATTTAACCCCTTTAATCCTCCCAAACATCCTATGAGGTTGCTCTATTGCTGTCCCTAATTTACAGTGAAGAAAACCAAGACACAGAGAGGTTAAGTGACCTGCCCGAGCTCATGCAACTCGTGAGTGGGAGAAAGGTGGCATTCAAACTTACGCAGTCAAGCTCTTGAGAGAGAAAGGAGGATGCGCTCTTTGTGACAGACTCCTATCTGCCACCAAGCAAACAAAAAAATAGCACTGATACTCCCTCTCCACTGCCTGGTCCTGTGGCAGACATCACTAGTTGATGATAGCACTCTTTCCTGCTGAACACAGATGAGTCCTTGGAATCCTTCTCAACTAGGGCTCCACCACTAACCTCTAGTAATCAATGCCTCAGCATGAGAGCCCATTTGTCATTTTATAGATGACAATTAATTCATAACGTTTTTAAAAAGTATAGGGTCAGAAAGGCACTCTTGTTAGGCACTGAGGTTCTACACAAGGGGTAAACAAAATTATATCTTAAAGGTATTAGAAGAATATCCTACATAAAGAAATACTGATACAAATTCTTTTGAAAACTCTTGAAAACCCCTTCGTACCCTGCGTTTTTACAATCTGGATTTGTACCCTGGGTTTTCATAGACCGAGACATTTTTCCCATGTGACTTGAGAGGCATTTGAACATCCCCTATAGTTTTTTTTTCAGTGCCTCTCCAATTTTTACTAGCAGGACATTTATTTTCAAAGCGTTTGCTTTTTACACATTTCCATTCACTTGACAACATTGTATTTGTCCTACTCCAGTGGGTAATATATTTACAAAGATCCAGTGTGTAGAGGGGACATGTTAAGAATACTTGATTCATACTGTGCAGGAGAGAAATCTCTGAATGCTGTTTTTCAGTATTAGAATTACACTTGGTACTTGAACAGCAGGGATATTAGGATTCTAAGAGGGAGCACAATGGTAGAGGCATACAAAAGAGTTTCCCAGCAATAGAGGAATTACCCCTCCAATGCAACAACTAAACTTTCATGAGGGGAGTAGGAATGAAGGATGGTGCAGCTAATTTGGTGGGTATAAAAGTATAATGCCTGTGTGGCTGCTGAGAACACCCAACTTTGAGGATGTAGGTTGTGCGTAATCAGATTTTTAGGCATTTAAAAATTTAAGTTTAATCAAGCAGATTCCTATGGATGGTAAAAAAAAAAAAAAAAATTCAAGCTGCCTGGGATACTTATAGTTGGTAGCAGAATTGGATCCAGAAAAATAGTTTGGTTCTACTTCAAGGCCAACATTAAGATAATGGAGATGACCTAGATTTTAAAATTCCTGTACCTAGTGAAACATGGCCATGCAAGCACGGCATCAAGAGGAGATACCAAGTGGGTTTACAAGCGAATGCACATCAGCCATGGCTAGCAAATGGTACCCTTGGCTGCTGCCAAATATTAAAGCCCAAGTTGGAGAAGTATTGCTAATTGCTGAGACATAATTGGGAAAATGTTAGCCATAGGATAAGAGAAATCTCTTCAAAGTCACATACCCATAGATTTAGATGATTTCTTTAAGGGGACCAAATGGTAACCTGAGAAGCCTACTAGTATGTTGACCTAACAACAAAGTGTGTGGATGTATTCCAGGAAACAACTAGAGATCATTGATAATACTTAGCTACATGAATGTTCACCAAAGTGCTGTTTAAAAAAGTGACCAAAAATTCAGAAGCAATAAATGATCAATAATAGGGGATCAATGGAAAATATTGTGGCTTATCAGTCCAATACAATGGGATGCAGCCATTAAGATGATTTTTAGAAAACTTAATAGCACATTAAATTAAATTTATGAACTATGAAATGATATTCATATAAGTACATAATATTTATATATAATTATAATATTTGGATAAATGGGTAAATAAATGCATTTTAAAAAGCAGGTTATGAACACTAGATAAAGTATGATTATTATTTTTTTTTTAGACAGAGTCTCACTTTGTTGCCCAGGCTAGAGTGAATGCTGTGGCATCAGCCTAGCTCACAGTAACCTCAAACTCCTGGGCTCAAGCAATCCTCCTGCCTCAGCCTCCCGAATAGCTGGGACTACAGGCATGCACCATCATGCTCGGCTAATTTTTTCTATATATATTAGTTGGCCAATTAATTTCTTTCTATTTATAGTAGAGACGGGGTCTCGCTCTTGCTCAGATTGGTTTCGAACTCCTGACCTCGAGTGATCCGCCTGCCTCAGCCTCCCAGAGTGCTAGGATTACAGGCGTGAGCCACCACGCCCAGCCAAGTATGATTCTTTTACAAAAGGAGTGCGTGTGTATATACATAAGTCTGGGAAGGATATAACTAAAAGTGTGGAAAGTGATTATCATCTCTGGGTGGTGGTAATGTTTGCTTTCTTCTTTTTGCTCATATATAGTTTCTAAAACATTCACAATGGACATGTATTACTTGTGCAATAAGAAAAAGCAAAGCTACAAATTATTACTATTATTATAAACAGGCATTTTATGTTCACAATGTCTCCCTGTCAGCTTTGTTAACATAGTGCTTTGGGACACCGCTATTGTAGTTGTGAGCAGAACTTGGTGGGTAATGAGTCTTCCTGACTGTCAGCACTGTGAATAGGTGTATTCCAGGAAACGTATTCCAGGAAATAAGTAGAGATCATTGATAAAACTTAGCTACATGAATGTTCACCAAAGTGCTGTTTAAAAAAGTGACCAAAAAATCAGAAGCAATAAATGATCAATAATAGGGGATCAATGGAAAATCTTGTGGCTTATCAATCCAATACAATGGGATGTATTTGATCTTTGGCTCTATCTCAGGTTGATTCTCTTTTCCTGGCCGTTGTGGTGAACTACAGCTACCATCCTTTGGGAGGTCCTCCTCACCCCTTTCCAGATACTCTTCCTCATACAGACATTCCTTCCCTTACAGATACTTTTCCTCCTCCAGATACTCTCCCTCCTCCAGATACTCACTGTCTTTCAGGTAGTCTTCATACAGATTCTCTTCATATGGATACAGTTTTTCTTGCAGATACTTTTCCTCCTGCAGATACTCTACCTCCTCCAGATACTCTTCTTCATCTGGTTGCTCTTCCTTCCCCAGGGGCTCTTCCTGCAACCTTTCTTCATCTAGTTCTACTTTACTTTCCTCTTCCTCTGAAGATAAGATCTGTGTGGAATGCTGGGAATTTGTGGGAGAGGAAGGATCAGCTCCATCCTCTGATGACAGACTATTTTTAGCAGACATGTTGGGGGAGCAGTGGGTAGACGGACGCCTTCAGCAGCAGGCAAGTCACCTCATCGTCCTGGTAACCAAGGAAGTAATAAACTCCTATTAGTCAGTAACTGCAACTACTTGTTGATATAAACCCATTTTTGTTCACTCATTTCATTCAATAGTCTTTAGAGGTCTCTTTAACCCTTTGCACTCGGATGTCGAGTGTGGATAATGTCGAGTGGATAATAAGAAAAAAGCAAGCGAATGTCAAATGCAACTCGACACGGTTAGCAAAAATTATTGAGATTAAAATTACTCTTTGAATATATCAATAATTTGAAATATAAAAAAATCCAAATAAATAAGTTTGTATGAAAAGAAACTCCAGTTTTTGATTCTACTGCCGCGCTTTGTAAAAGATGGGGTATTTAAAAAATTAAATCCCGAGCAGAATAAAGGAATTGAGAAAAAAGCAAATGCAAAGGGTTAAGTATGCAGATCAGCACATGGGGGCCAGTGAAAAGGCACAAAAAGAGGGAACAGAGGCTTTACCCTCAATGAACTAGGTGGAGAGATTACGCCTGAAGGTAAAACCTTTAAAATTATTGCACAATATGAAGTAAATGAGGCGGGCTGGAAAGTGATCATTGTTTAGTGGTGCAATCACTGGAGAAGATTTTTACTTATTCATTAAGAAATATTTATTGCATTTGGTATGAATGAGCTCTAAAAAAAAAAAAAAATATTTATTGCCACAATAAACAGGACGAGATTGTCTTCCAGGAGCTTGAAACTGGGGGGAGAAATAGAGTCATACAGATTTCTAGACACAGTGACAAGCACAATGCCACACACACTATCACCTAGGTTAGAAGCACATGCACTGTTAGTTCACTGGACAAACGCTACTTATAGTTTAACATTGTGAGCATCTTGACTCCTCTAGGAAGCCTTCCAGGCTCCATCCTGTGCTCCATCTGTGCCTTCTGTATTTTTATTAAATTTATTAGTTTGCTCTATTAAATAATTTGTTTACATATTTGTCCTTCCAACAGTGTAAACTTCTTAAAGGTGGAAAGTAGGGGTGATTCCTTTTTAAAAATATATTTCCAATCCTTCCACTCCACCCGCTGTTAGGGTGTAAATTCATATGCAGGTGGAGAAAGATTTCTTATAGAAAGAGTAAGATAGACGTACAAAGTTTATTCTCCTTTCTCCTAGTGAGAAAGGGCTCAACACGAGGAAGGAAGAAAGGAGTGTTGGTGCTGAGCAGAAGCAGCTCAGGATTTTTATGGGAACACAGGGAAGAGAGAGAAAAAAAATAGTTATAGCTGCCAGCTGATAACAGAAGTGGCTGTCTTTCCTTTTCCTTTTTTTATTTTTTTTCTCTTTTCCGTGTGAGGCTAGCTTATCAGAGTCCTTGGAATCTAGTTCTGGCGAGAGCTGGGAGCAAGCTTACACCCTGCTTAGGGCTCTTCAAGGCCATGAAAATGAAACTCTCAAATAAAACAATTTTAATCTTAAAGATAATGACTTGAGTCCCAAGTGGTTGATCAAACAAAGTAAAGAGCAGTTGTGCTGTGATCTTTCCCTTCAAAGGGGCAATTATGTATTGTGAATTTAATCTTTTTTTTCTTTCTGTTTGATAGTTTATCTTTCTCTGTTAACTAGTTTATTAGCAAGACCATCCTTTCACCCACTTCCACTGTGACACCCCATTAGGAACACAGCATCTCTGGTTTGGATGACTGGATTTCCTGAGACTGTTGCTGCTGCTCTGCTAGTCCATTCTCTGTGAAAAGTGTTCTTATAAAAGTATAAATCAGATCAGGATTTCCATTGCTTTCCCCAGCTGGCTATGTGGAAAGAGCAAAAGACTGTAACAGAGAAGGAGGCACCAGTGGGTAGAATGCTTTAAAACCCATTATGAAGCATTTGGGGTTGGGTGGTGTCAAAAGACAAAATTACAGCAAAATCTAGTTATAGATCTAATTGGTTTTTGTTGGTGATTCATGAATGGGAGCTGCCTCCGTTCTACCAAACAATGAGAGCTCCCTACAACGGCAGAACAGCAGCTTTTGTAAAGTGGGAACAAAGAAACAGAACAATAGAAAAACACTGGTTAAAACAAGGTTATCTTTTTTGGTAAGGGTTAAAGCTGAGGAGACTTCCTTATTACCTGACTCAGGAAATGCATTTCAGGTAGACTGCAAGCTCCTTTTTTCAGGAAAAATTGGCCTGTTTTGGGATCTATTTGCTTTCTTAGCATTTCAGTTTGATTACGTGGGATTTAGCCTGAGCAACTCTGTTCCTGTTTGGTCTGGTCCGTTGGGGCCTAGTGCAGGAGTCTGGTCCAAAACAATGGCTTCCCATAATTTCTGTTTAACAGTGGCGATGGGGAAAGTGTTATGATAAAAGCAACTCTGGGGCAAGAGGATTCTCGTGGCCGTTTGCCAGGTAGGAAACAGCAGAGACTGGAGCTTTGCCTGCAGCTGACTTGTCCTTTCATCCATCACTGTGGCTCTGCAGCATGTGAGTGTCTTTTCCTGCAGGCTGCTCCAGCGCTCTTTGGAGGAGGCGAGATATAAATAATACATGAAATGATGGTGGAAAATGGTGAGCTACGGGATAGCTTTGGGATGTGAACTAAAATGAAATATTAAGGCTCCCCCCATGAGCTGACTGAATGGACCCCCTTTTGGCCAAGGGGATACCCTAAAACTGAGTTGCTGGCGGTGAGAAGAGAGGTCAGACGAGCCTCATCATGCCCCCCTCCCTCCCTGTAGACATCTTCTGTAACTCACTAACGTGCCTGAGGGTACGCAAGACTCACCTGCAGGTCCTCAATATACACAATAAATCACCTGAGTCTGGGCGTTTGTCCGGTGGCTTGTCTCTGATTAACAGATTTCTTTATCTTAAAACATTCCAAGCCTTTAGACAAAGCTTCATCTCTTTAACCAATTACATATCAAAGAGTCTTTAAACCCACCTATAACCTGTAAGCCCCCATTTAAAGATGTCCCACCCTTTTGGGCCAAACCAATGTACACCTTCTATGTATTGATTTATGACTTTACGTGTAATTCCTGTCGCCTTGAAATCTACAAAACCAAACTGTAACCCAACCGTGGGAGGCCACTTGCTCAAGGCTTCTTGGGCATGACCATGGCCCTCAAATTTGGCTCAGAGTAAAACCTCTTTAAAATATTTTACAGAGTTCAGCTTCTTTTCCTTTGACAGGGACCTATGTCTATGTCTACAGAAGCCTATTCCATTTTAAAGGAGGTCTCTACAGCTTTATTTTGACTTAAAACCTCAACTGCCTATTGCTGCTGTCCACTTCTAACTCCCACCTGCTCCTGTCCCTAAGCCAGAGCCAGATGGCAAGAGCAATGAGAGAGCAGTGACCGAGATTCTTTGCTTGACCAAACTTGAGTCAGGCTCTTGAAACTTCTCCCAGGAACTTTCTTATAAAATCCAGTTTTTGCAAGAACTAAACTAAGTCAGTTTAGCAAGAACCAGTCCCCATCCTCCTTATCTGACTGGAACCATCCTTGATATCCGATCAAAGTCCTCCCCCTCCCCCACCCCTGCGTGCTATCTGATCCCCCTGGGCTGTCTTCAGCCAGAATTCTGTTAGGTTGGTTTAGGCAGAATCTCTCCTTAACCCTGAGGTTTCTTCTTAGTTAATTTCCCTTCTACTCTGATGACATCTTGATGTTTGTTTCCTCTTAGTTAATTGTCTATGCATTGGAGGCCGAGGTGGTTGAGGGGATCGCTTGAGGTCAGGAGTTCGAGACCAGCCTCAGCAAGAGCAAGACCCCATCTCTACTAAAAATAGAAAAAAATTAGCCGGGCATGGTGGCACACACCTGTAGTCCCAGCTACTTGGGAGGCTGAGGCAGGAGGATTGCTTGAGCCCAGGAGTTTGAGGTTGCTGTGAGCGAGGCTGATGCCATGGCACTCTAGGTCGAGCAACAGAGCAACACTCTGTCTCAAAAAAAAAAAAATTTACTCTCTGCTCCTTGGCTATGAATTCCTACCTGCCCTTGCTGTGTTCAGAATTGAGCCCAGGTCTATCCTGAGGTCTCTTTTCTCCTGTTGCAATAGTCCTGAAGAAAATCTGTTGTCGCCATGTAATGGCTGTCCAACTCTGCTTTTCTTTGACAGTGGGTCTATCCAGCCCTACCCTGGGAGTGCTGAGGAGCTCACGTGGGCACTGGCCACTCCATCATAGGCTTACCCTCGAGGGCTCCTTACCACTCAGATTTTTTTGAGCCACTTAAGAGATCAAAACCAGCTGGTCCCCTGGACAGCCCAGGGGCATTTATCAACAGTGTGCTATCGCTCAGGGTGATGGGTCTTTTCTTCCTATTTTCTCATCAGGCCTTATAAAAAGGGTTCAGTCAGCTGGAGCCTCATTTCAAAGATCAGAAAAGAGCCTGCATTCTAGATACTCTCCAGCAATCCGATGCCCAACGTCTGAGGCAAACGTCTGAGGCAAAAGTCCCGGCTCTGGCTTGTGATTCAGAGCATGACCCATTTGAGAACAATGAGACCTACCCCTGGTTAGGACGGGATGAGGCGGTATGTGCAGGCAAGACTGGTGCCGGGCACAAATGGGAGCTATGTTGTGGTTACTGCACACCGATGCCTAACCAGCTCTGAAGGTGGATGTGTGCTACGTGTATGTGCGTGAGTGTGTGTTGTGGTCCTTCCGGAGCCTTCAGGGCATGGGGAGAGAGAAAAGATGGCTTTCCAACTACTGTGCTGCAGGCACTGGCTGCAGTTCAGTTGAGAGGTTTGGAGATTAGGGTCTGTCTGTTCTTCAGCCTGCGTCCTGTGGCTGGGCCGGGGGATGCTGGTCCAAGGGGAATGACAGAGTTGAGCTCCCTCATCCCCAGGAGGCTGGAGCCCCCCCCTTGGGAAGGCGGCCTGGCTCGGGGAATATTCATGGGGATGTTTTGTTTGCCGGGACAGAATCGCTGTCATAAGGGGTCAGCACACTTTCTGACTCTCAGTGGTGACTTCAGGAAGTTGTCCTGTATACATGTGAGACAGCCTGTCCTTTAGGAAGCCACTCATTCAATTTTCAGACAGGTTTTGGAGTCAATCAGAGTCTTTCTCACTCTGACTTCTCCTTCCTAGCCCTTCTCAGTCCTGGGGGAGCCACAGTGACGAGTTCTAACTCCTCTTCCACTTGACAGCCTTCTCAGTGTGTGAAGGCGGCAACCAGACCTTCCCGAGGGCTCCGGGCGCAGCTGCCTCGGCCGTCTTGGCATCTCCGCTGGGACGTCTCATAGGCGTCTCAAGCTCACTGTGCCCACGATGAGATCCTGATCTTCCTCCCAGGCCTCTCAGCTGATGGCAAAGCCCTGGGGGTCATCACAGACTCTTGTCTTTGGTTCTCATCCCACATCAAACCTACTGTGGGATCAGGCTGGCCCCTCCCTCAAAGGCCCTCCCTCTCCTGTCCCTCCACAGTCCCACCCACCCTGAGCTGCCATCGCACCTCGCCTTTGTTACTGCACCTCCCAACTGTGACAGCCAGGCTTCCCTGGAGAAGCAGGACCAATGGGGCATATATACGTAAATAAGAGAGGCTTCTTTGTGGGAACTGGCTCACACAATGATGGAGGCTGAGAAGCCCCTCCATTTGCCCCCTGCGAGCTGGAGAGCCAGGGCGGCGGTTGGTGTCGTTCAGAATAAGGCTGAAGGCCTAAGACACAGGGAGATGGGCCGCTAGCTCGAGTCCTGGAGTCTCAAGGCCCAAGAACCAGGAGCACTGAGGTCTGAGGCCAGGAGAAAACGGATGTCCCAGCTCAAGAAGAGAAAATGTTTCCCTTCCTCCGCCTTTTTGTTCTTTCCGGGCCCTCGCTGGGTTGGGAGGCTGAGGCAGGAGGATCCCCTAAGCCCAGGGGTTCCAGACCAGCCTGGGCAACATAGTGAGACCCTGCCTCTACAAAAAATAAAAAAATTAGCTGGGCAAAGTGGCGCGAACCTGTAGTTCCAACTGCTTGGAAGGCTGAGGGGGAGGATCACTTGAGCCCAGGAGTTCAAGGCTGCAGTGAGCTATGATTGTGTCACTGAACTCCAGCCTAGGAGACAGTTTTACCTTATCTTACTCAAAAAATTTTTGCTCAAAAAAACCCAAGAAAGCCTTAAAGAAAATAGCTCTTTCTACTGGCAGTTGGTTGGGCCAAGCTTTTGAGGCCCCTTCCCTTCTGCTATCTAAGGTTCTTCCGATGGGGGTCCCTGAGACCCTCTCCCGGGGAACCTCTGAGGCCCCTCCCTCTCAACCCTCTGAGTCCCTCTCCCTCTGCTCTCTAAGGCCCTTCCCCCTTGACCCCCTGAAGCCTCTCCCCCTTGACCTTCAGAGGCCCCTCCCCTGCCCCCTGAGGACCCTCCCCTTGGCCGTGTGAGCCCCTCCCTCTGGCCCTCCGATGTCCCTCCCCCTTGACCCTCTGAGGGCCCTTCTCTTTGGCTCCCTGAGCTCCCCACCCCCCTCAAGGCATCCTCTCTTCTCTAAGGGCTGGTTAGAAAGGAGTAGAGATTGCACCTGACTTGCTCTCCAGGGATCCCTGCTGCCTGTCACCTCTCCTAGGTGCGCCCAGGCCACCACACTGAAATGTCCTAGGATTCTGCCCAGCCCATAAACTGAGCTATAATTTGCCACATCTACCTTCTTATCTACTTTATTTAAATCGGGAGGAGGTTCTCCTGTGTCCAGATTTGGAGTGCTGCCCCTATTCTTCTCTATGCCCTATTTGTGTAGTGCTTTGACGCAAAGCGCCTTCACGTGCCCTATTTAATGTATTCATCACGGCAGCCTCGTGCAGTGAGCGCCACCATCTCCATTTTATAGAAGACAGCACTCAGGTTTAGCGAAATCAAACAACTTGACCAAGGTCAGACACGTACTGAGAGGCCATAGGAGGGTTGGACCAGGTCTGCTGTGACTGAGCACAGTGCTTTCCCTGGTGCCAACTGTTACGAGGCTGACAGACGTGTTCTTTGCAGGAAAGAACTTCTTAGGGTTCCCTCCAGGGCACTGGCTTTAGTTCTCTCTCAGCCTCTCCCACATGCGCTAGTTAAACAATAATTCTCCTTGATAAAGAAAGCAAAGGGGGCGAGAAGAGGGGAGGAGGGAGAAGTTGGGTGTCTGTCGTGTGCTCAACACTTGCTATGTGCTTAGAACAGAATAAGGTATTTTGATTTTTTTGTTTTCTTTTTCATTTAAAGATTCACAACAATTTGGTAAAGTATAATGATCCTATGAACCGACTGAGAGAACCAGGACTCACAGAAGTTAGGTAACTGGACTTGGTTGGGCCACAGCTACTAAATGCCACATTTAGGATTCACGCTAGGTCTGTCTAATTCCAAAGTCTAAATAAACAACCATGCTGCCAAAAGACAAGATGAGCAAGATACGTCTTCTTTTCGGTGTCCACAACGCAAGTTCTTAGGGATTCCTTCAAATATTTAGAGGCTTTTGTGGCAATTATTTAACAGAACACAGAAATATTGAGAGTTCCTACTTGTTAAAAGGAAATTCATTTAGATGAAAAGACATCCTCAGTTAAAAATTTACTGCACTAATTTTCAGGAGTCATAAAGAGAGCCTTTCAATTAACCTCCTTCAAATATTCAAAACGGTCACAAAGCAGGGTTATTACTGACTTATAACAGCATATTCAATTTCAGACAGCTCAATTTAGGATCTCAGCAGAAGGGTATTTTGGTGGTGTGCTGAGATGCCAGGGTTTCAGCACATAAGAGCACTTGTATATGTCACCTCACAGGGTGGTGAGCAGCAGGGGCAGGGGAAGGGACACTGTCTTAGCTGAGCTGCAGACCAAATACATGATTTTGAACATGGTCCCTGGTCCTGCCACACCTGTTCTAGGCAATTAATAGACTGAGCTGGAAGATCTCTGAGTTCCTTCCTATCCAATGTTTCTAAGGCTAACTAGCCCTTGTTCAAAACCCTTGGGGCTACTTGTGTTGTGCAATCCAGACATATCAGATATACTGTAGATACATAACAATCTTACAGGCCTAGCACTCTGGAAGGCCGAGGTGGGAGGATTGCTTGAGGTCAAGAGTTCAAGACCAGGCTCAGCAAGAGCAAGACCCCATTTCTACTAAAAAATAGAAAAAATTAGCTGGGCTACTAACAATAGAAAAAAATTAGCCGGATGTGGCGTGCACCTGTAGTCCCAGCTACTTGGGAGGCTGAGGCAGAAAAATTGCTTGAACTCGGAAGTTTGAGGTTGCAGTGAGCTACGATGAGATGACACCACTGCACTCCAGATGACACCACAGAACAAGACTTTGCCTCAAAACAAAACAAAACCAAAATAATCCTAGAGGAGTCTGGGCAGCACCCCGTGCTGAGTCTTATTATTAATACTATTTCCATAGGAAACATGTATTTTTTTTTTATAATAAGCAAGATAAAGAAAAACTTTAAATATTCCTACTTTGGTCCTTGTCGGATTTTGCCTCCAGTTGAGTTCTAGCAGGTCAGGTTTTGTGGCCAAATGAGTTTGCCACAACTTATCAAGAGGACTTTCAGTCTTTAAAACTTTTTGTATTTTAGAGTTTTCAGATAAGAGATTTTAATATTGTACGAACATTTCTTTGGAAGCCCTATTGGTGGTAAAATCTAGAATTTATTTAATGTCATGTTCTTGATGGGAAACACAATGCGTTTAAAATGTTTTGGTTTTTTTTTTTTTTTTGGTAGGAAAATAAAATCCACTTCATGGAGATCCAGTTTGACATTGCTGTTTCTAGGGTCTCAAAGTGGTCAACAAAGAGAGCAATAAGAATTATGTGGTTTCATGACTGTGCAGTGTTCAAGACCTGGAACGGTACAGCCCAGTTAGGCTCTGGGCTCAATACTTACAGTGCCAGGGTGTGAACTGAGTTCAAGTCAAGAGAGTCTTCAACAATAACAGCTGAAAGAAAAATATTTTCTGGTTAGTTATCCAGAAAATTAGGCTGACAACACAGTGTGCACTAATAGCATTGGAAGATAGATATTTTTTCTATGCTAACGTTGGATAGAATTTATTTTTGTAGTATGTGTTTCCTCCTTAACCTTCCTTGGTCAGTAGCTCTCCTTGAATATCCAATGACAAATCAAACCAAGCAGCCCTCAGGTGCCTCTTCTGCCCCCCCACCTCACCCCTAAGTGGTATGACCAACGTGTTCACGAAGGTTCCCCAGGCTCTGCAGAGAATTCATAGGAATGCCACAGGTAGTTTAAATTTTTGAGGGAAACGGTGATACTCAACATCTGTTGGACAACATGTGAACTGCTAACTCTAGATCACACCACATTCCTTTCAATGATGGCATGTCATTTCCAAAGCTGGGTTTTTGGCAGCTGTTGAAAGAAAAAAGCAAATATCACATAAAAATCAGTGTTGAACAAGAAATGAGGGTGGCTGTGTCCAATGTGATTCCAAGATTTGAGAAGTTACACAATGTCCAACAGGCACACACATTCCATCAGTAAGTCACTGTGGCTATTTAAGAATGAAAGAAAAGCATTATTTTTTTCTTGCACTTTCTGTGTGTTAAATTGTGACATAAATATGTGACACAAGGATGAGACACAAATATTCATTCAGTTATTTACATATAACCATTTGACAAATGGAACCGTTAGGGATTTCTTTTGGCCAAGGAGGACCATGAAAAATTCTCAGAGACAGTAAAGGCACAGTGAACTGAGAAAGTCTGGGACCCTTTGGTGTAATTCACTGAGAGCTCAGATGAAGAAGGTTGGAGTCACCCTTGATTCCCCTGTCATTCCCCCCAAACCCAAATCCATCAGTACGTCCTCTTAGTGCTATGTCCCCCTAAATATCTACTGCATCTACTCTTCTCTTTACTACCACTGCGATCACCCTCATCTAATCCAGCATATTTTACAACAATCTCCCTGCTTTGGCTCTTGCTTTCCAGTAATCCATTCTTCAGAGGCGATCTTTTAGGAACATAAAATAGACCATGTTGCTCCCTGGCTAAAAATTCTTTAGCGACTTGCACTCCACTTTGGAAGACCTCCAAGACCCACCCATGCTGGCCAGACTTCCTCTCCTGCCCTCTAGAATCCCCATCCTTCCCTTCTCACAGCCTCTTCTGACCGTGGGACCCTTCCATTAGCCCTTCCCATTGTCTGGAATGTTCTTCATCCACTTGAAGACCTTCAAATGCCTGTCTCCTTCCCCTCAAGTTTCAGCTCAGATTTCGCCTCCCCAGTGAGGCTTTCTCTGAGCAGGTGATCTAAAATCGCCTCACCCCCAATCACCATGTATCTTATCACTTTGTTGTGTTTTCTTCGTAACATTCGTCACTCCTGAATGTATGGTGTTTGTGGGTCTGTATGTTTGAGAATAGGAACTTGGCTTTCTTGTTCACCTTTGTGTTTTCTCCACCTGGAATAGTGCCTGGCACATACTAGGAGCTTGATAAATATTTGTCAGAATTAATAAATGAGTGATTTATCCCGTATGGTTGGGTGTTTGGATCATTCATTGATAGCTCCTAATGGAGAAGATTCAGAAATGTGTTGGGAGGGAGGGAGCCAGTAAGATCATTTTGACTGATATAAACACAGTCACATGTTGCTTAATGATGGGGAAACATTCTGAGAAAGAGGTCATTAGGCAATTTCCTTGTTGTGCAAACATTGTAGAGTGTACTTATACAAACCTAGATGGGATAGTCTGCTACGTATCTAGGCTATATCGTACAACCTATGGCCCCTAGGCTACACACCTGCACAGCATGTTATTGTACTGAATACTGTAGGCAACTGTAACACAATGGTAAGTATTTGTGCACCTAAATGTAGAAAAGGTACAGTAAAAATACAGTATTTTATAATCTTATGGACCACTGTTGTATACGAGGTCTATCACTGACTGAAATATCATTATGTAGCACATGACTATATGTGTATATATATATATAAAACATACATTTAGAAACAAAATATATTTTACAAACTAGGTCTACTCAAGGAGAAGTGTTTCCTATACTTTTTGGGAAGAGACAGCAGACAGTTGCCTTATATGAACCCCATTTTTCTTAGTAAAACTGATGGTTTATCATAAATTTTTATGTTGAGTTAGATAGCTTAGGAAGCAATTGCATTGTGTCATTTATTATTTTTCACAACAGAAAAACTTCCCTTTCCCCTTACTTTTCTTTCCTTTCATTAAGAAATTGAGATAAAGACTTGTAAAGGGAACAGAACATTACTATTACTACAAGCATTAAACCAAAAATGAGAATGCCATTGTCCAGCCTAATTTTGCCGATGTGGGTTCTTCCAGAACAGTAAATCCAGCAAGGGTGCACAGTAAATTGGCAGGAGGAACAGGTGCGGAATTATTCCACATCTCTGGCAAGCAGCAGTGGGGATTAAACAGCGCTTTCTTTAATAAGATTAATTCTGAAATACCAAGAGTGGTTTGGCACATCCCCAAAGATACAAGGCATTTGTGTCTATATACGATTAAAGAAGCTTTCACACAAAGCAATTTTATTTTCCAGCATCAAAGAGATGCTTCAGAGGGGTTGCGTGAAGGAGGCACATTGCAATAAATGCGGAAAGTGCAAAACCCTCTTTAGAGGAAAGGCAGTTTGCTCGGGCAGGAATTGTATCTATAGCTTTCACTACCCAGGACACACATTGTTCCTAGAATCACAGGATTATGGAAAAGGGGCAGCCGGGGTTAGCCATCAGCCCAACAAACACCCCAGACAGGTGGCTCCCCAGTGATAACCTTGGATTTCCAAGGATGGGAGCTCAGTGCCTTTGGAGGCAGACTGTTGGCCAGCTCTAATAAATAATAAATAACGTCCACGATGCTGTAATAATAATGATAACAAAGATCACAGCCACCATTTCTATGTGCCAGGCGCTGTTCTTAGCATGAAACAAATGCACAGACTTCTGCTGCTAAATCTCCTTCCCCTGGGCTTTTAGCTGCCTGGGTCCCAGCTCTGCTCCCTGGAGCTACACGCAACAGCCTGGCTCCTCAGTGAGCTGCAGATATTTGAAGGCAGCTTTTATGTTCTTTAACTGTTTCTTTTTCCTGCACTAAACTTCTGTTTATTTTTTGAACCTGATACAGGTATTTACACAGACTGGTATTAAATTTCATCTTGCTGGTTTTGCCTCACCCATCAGGCTGCCCAAATATTTGTGAATTCTGATTCTATCACTCCGCGTATCAGCCTGACTTTAGCCAATGTGCTTCTTAAAATGATAAGCTTCCAAGTCTCCCTCCTATCCTTTCTCTCTTTATTCTTTTCCTCTTTCCTTCCACAAACATTTATTGAGGACTTGTTCAATGTGCTAGCCACTGCATCAGGCGCTGGGGCCACAAGGTTGCAGAAGGAACACCTATAGACTCGAAGAAAGCTGCTTGCTTAGGAAGGAAGGCAGGAAATAAATTAAAATACAGCATAATGTGATTATGTTGTGAATAAAGAAAGAGGAGAGTTTAATAGGAGTTGGAAGAGTCATCATCCATATGGGAGACAATGGGGACACAGTAGAAGCCAGCACCACCTCAGAGTCCTGGTGTGTGGGGCCTGGGAGGGAAGTGGGCAGTCCCCGCTTAATTAAAAGCTAGCCAGAGGATGTTCCAGGGGAGCTTATTTATGGACGGCGGCTGTACTGTTACTGCCCAGTGTGACCGCCTTCTCTCCTCCCTCCTTCCCACCCGCCTGGCCTGCAGGCTCTTCCTCCCGTGCTGACCTTCCTACAGAGTCAAGGGCAGCTGCCTTGGCTGGAGGGTCTAAGTCTTCACATGGCAGGCTAGACAAGCAGGGAGCATTCTAGATCTTAATGAGGGACCAGGGAAGGACAGAATCAGAGGGAGGGTGTCTTTCATGACCTGAAAATGCCCAGTTAGTCATTTGGAAGACCGGCAAAACCAGGAGCAAAGGGACTTTCTGGTTATGACTTCCCATGGGTTTCTTCCAAGCATAATTAATCACCCGGGTCACTTGGAGGCTGTCCTCAATGTGAAGACTGGGGTCTTCAGAAGTCCAGGCAGAATGGCTCATTTACACATGCTGCAAAGCCCAGGATGGTTCCAGGAGCCTGCGAGTTTCCCGGAGTTAGGAATTTTGCAGGATAGAGAATGGGCGACCTTCATAGGATCTCTTATCCTATGTTGGACTCATGTCCTTGTTCAAAGAAGGGCACCCCTGTGGCAATGAGCCCTTCTTAGCAAAATTAATTAATGTCTGTAGCCAACAGGCTCCAGAGTTCTGGGAACTAGTGGCTTCTTGGGCCAGGTGCTTACTGTCACCTGGGAGCTGTCTCTGAGTTTCTCCCCAGTGTCTCCTAGAATCCCTGAGCCCTTGTAGTAGTTGGTGGCATAGACTGATTTGACTAGGGCTGCTGAGTGCCACCTTTTGTCAGGAGTTCAGAAAATGAGACCTGGATGAGGTGTACTGGTAGTGTTCATGTCATTAGGCAGCGTGTCCGTGCACACGGTCAGGCGTGGCTCCCAGGGTGCTAGGCACAGACCACACCCACGCAGCCAAGCTCAAATCATGGCTTGAAGCTGTGAACCATCATAAAGCTGAAGTTAATCATGACCATGGGTCAGAACAGGACTGGGGTCTTTTAGGATTTGGAGCTGAGAGGCTGATTAAGGACTTGGGAAACGCTGCCTAAGTACCCCTTTTCTCCTAATCTAAAAGGGCATGGATGCCTGGTTCCAGTTTGGAAGGATTAAATATCAAAAGTCGAATAAACTCTGTTGTTATACTAACACTTTCTATTTTTGGTGGGACAGAGAGAACATAGGCAAATGTTTCTAAAGAAAGATTTTGAGCCACACAAGCAGAAAGTTTAGAGGCCAGGTAGACCACTAAGATCTAGGAGGGCTGGGCTGGGGACTCACGGATGCAGGTCCTTGGCCGAGGTCTGCACAGGCTGAGGAATTTGCTACTGGGGCCCTTCTTAACAGGGTATGTCAGCCCCATCTCCATCAGAAGAGATGGCGGTCAGGGTTTCACCCTGTGCACCTCATGGTGCAAGAGGAGCCTCAAGCTTTGGTAGACACTTGTATGTGTCCCTTTCAACAGGAAACAGAAGAGAAATTTGGTCTTAGAAGAGTTCAGCTTATTCAAAACTCTACATGGAGGATCCATGTCTTTCCCTTTAATTCTTTATGTGCTTAGAAGGAGGACCTGTTAATAGCATTATGTTATTTATGAGTCAGGCTAGAAAAAGGCCAAGCCTTTGGCTATTCATGCATTAGAGTGCATCATATTGGGCACTGTAAGCCTATCCCTGAGGTAGGATCAAGGGGTCAGACACCTGAGCAGTCCTCCTGCCTGGGCGTCCTCCTGGCCCATGTTTCCCAAGCTCTTCTTGATTTTCTACTCCAACAAATAATATCTTTGTTTCCCGAAGGATACAATATGTATTTCTGCCATCTCTTCCAGAGTAGGATTTCATTTGGAGTCCCAAGCTTGCTTTTGAGTTTCCTTGTCACTTTAAAGCAAGTCTAGTCATTCTTTAAAACCCAACTCAATTAAGGTTGCTTTTGCTAAAAAGAAAGAAAAAAAGAATCAAAAAAATAAATAAGAGAAAAAGAAAAAATTAAATAAATAAATAAATAAATAAAACCCAACTCAAAGTCACCTCCTCTGGAAAGATTTTCAGACTCTTCCAGAAAGAGTCTCTATTTTCCTCACAGCTCTCTCACTGCACTGTTCTTTTTTTATTTTTGAGACAGAGTCTCACTTTGTCACCCAGGCTAGAGCGAGTGCCGTGGAGTCAGCCTAGCTCACAGCAACCTCAAACTCCTGGGCGATCCTCCTGCCTCAGCCTCCCAAGTAGCTGGGACTACAGGCATGCGCCACCATGCCTGGCTAATTTTTTCTCTATATATTAGTTGGCCAATTAATTTCTTTCTATTTATAGTAGAGACGGGGTCTCACCTCTGCTCAGGCTGGTTTGAACTCCTGACCTCAAGCAATCCGCCCGCCTCGGCCTCCCAGAGTGCTAGGATTACAGGCGTGAGCCACCTCGCCTGGCCCTGCACTGTTCTTGATTCATGTGTCTGCCTCACCTGAGGCTGTCACACTCCACGATGCCTGGCACGTAGGGGGATTTCGGCAGGAATATGTGGCCTGAACGAATGATCCATGGGAAAGAGACGCACATAGGAGACTGACTGCAAATGAAATTCCTGGTTTAGACTTTCAGCCGCATCACTTAATTTTCCCTCCTGCTATGGGAAAAACTCTAGAGATGAGCTGTGGGCGGGTTCAGGTAGCAAAGAGGGAGATGGTGAAGAGAGTAGGGTGGCACATACGACCCTTGGCTGTCACTGGGGTTCTACCAACGGATGCTTAGAAACCTTAGTTGGAGCAAGGAGAGAGCCTCATTCCTGTAAAGCACACAGGGTATTCCACAGCGCTCTGCAACACGAGGCATTCTTGTTGCTGTGGCTCTCGTCTTCTGTAGCTGTTTCTAACTTTAACTAACTGGCTGCATTCTTGGCTGAAGTCAGTGGCCTTTCCCCAAGGAGGGGCACAACTATGACCTACTTCTGTGAGTTCCACGAAGCCAGGCCTGGGCTGATCTGCATTCACATTAAAACATGCCAGGGGGCAAACACTGAAGTAAAAAAGTTCTGTTGAAATGCCTTAGACCAATCAGTGCAATTTTTAGCAGTACAGACTCCCAGTGCACTTGTTAAAACATAATTTCCTAGGGCCGTTTTTATAAATAGAATTTCAAATGTATTCAGGTTTGAACTTTCAAGGAGGGTGACTCTGACCATCACTTGACACAGAACACTCGTAAAATACCATTGGCTGTTCACTACTCACCATCTGCCTAGAAGGCTGGTTAGGACGGCTGTTTCCAGCCCATTTCAGAGAGGTGGGGGAAGGAAACTTGGGGAAACTGAGTGACTTGCCTTTGGGTCTCAGGAGTCAGTTTGTGGACAAGGGTGCAATTTTAGACCTGGGGAATGTTCTTCCTGCCTGGTGGACTGGTCTGTGCAGGCTGTCGAGAAAGACGTCCTACCATGCACACCCACACTGTCCCCTTACACTCAGGGCCAGGGCTCTCTGCAGTGGAAGCGACACCGTATCTGCGGCAGTATCATGACCGAACAACGCCCTGCACAAAGCGAAGACGCAGTCAAAGCAGAGGACAGAAAGGCCAAGGGAGTGGAGGGGCACAGAAAGAGGGAGAGAGAAACAAAGAAGTCCGTGTACTTGACGCTCCTTTGTTGCTCAGCCCCTCGGACTCTGCTCCGTGCTCCGTCCCGCCTGGCCTGAGGGTGGCAGGCTGGAGGAGGAGGAGTCGGGTGTCCTGGAGCGCGCCAGGCTCCTGTCGGAAGTCCTTACCCTGGCCAGGCACGGGCGCGCGCGCGCACGCGCGCGTCCTCCACGAAGTCCCGGGCCCGGAGTTTGTTGCAGCCCTCGGTTACCATGGGAACGGCGCCCTGTCCCTGGCGGAATCTAATCTGCATGGTTGCACAGAGTTCTAAGCCTCTGCACCTGCCTTCCACGTTCTGTTCCCAGCCTCTCTCTTCTCGCAGGGGAAGTGTTTGGGCTCAGCATCTGTGGCCCGTCAGAAAGTTTTCTTTATCGTCTGCATGAAGGCCACCTGCGTCAGGTGGAAGGTGCGCCCCATGGATTGTGTCTCCTTGAATGGAGACTGTACAGGTCAGACTGCTCCTACCTGGACTTTCTAGAACGCTGGAATGCTGGGGCCCAGCGCTGAACTTGTGGGTGGCTGCTAAGATGAACAGATGGGACGTGTGGCTCCCAGATCACCCTGACTGAACGGGCTCACTTGAGCTGGTCCCCAGGGCAAAGAGCCCTGAGCAGCCTGGATGGCAGCCTCTTTGCCCTCTTGAGTACTGTTCCAGGGGCATGAGGAACTGCCCTGAAGGGGACAGAGTCCATATCCATGGACTTGACCTGGGGTCAAGGGTTGGAGAAAGCCAGTGAAGGTCACGTGCTCTGGCCACTCTGAATGGGCCTGCTGGAGTTGCAGAGGGCTCCAGGTGGGGCCAGGAGGCCCGGTTGCAGTCCACGTCTATGTAGGCATTTCTGGTCAACTGACACAGAGATTCCAGAAGAAAAAGACCCAAATCTTTGAAATGCCAGTAATTGGCAGTGATTTCCTTTCCCATTCTAAACAAATATTCATTTTTGCACCTAAATTTGTGTTTATAATTTTTAATTCTTTTTCTTGAAGACGCCCACCAAGTTGTATAAGCTCCAGGTATCCACAAAACCTGGAGAATCATGGGTACCCCATACATCCCAGGTGTGTGTTACTGGGTTTTTTCATTTGTCTCCTGGTGACCTGTGCCAGGCTCTTGGGAAGGGGATGAGAGTGACAAAAAGGGGACTTCCAATGGGAGAGATGGGGAACACAGAGAACCCAAGGCTGCTCTTGGTGGTCCCAGAGGAAATACGCAGGTTGAAGCAGGTCTCTGACCCTCCCCCTTCTCCTGAAGTGGAGAAAGTTGGAGAAAAACAGAAGAGAGGCAAAGCCCGTACCAGTATTATGGGATGTGGGAAGGAGTGCAGAAGAAACAGGAAGTCAGAGGATGCCAACATTGGTCCAAGGATCACACACTAAGGATCTCTCTTTTTTTTTTTTTATTTTATTTCGGCATATTATGGGGGTACAGATTTTAAGGTTTCAATAAATGCACTTTCCCCCCTCCCCCCACAAGTCTGAGTTTCCTGCATGACCATCCCCCAGACGGTGCACATCTCACTCATTATGTATATATATACCCGCCCCCTCCCCCCTGCCCAATACCCTATTACTGTAGTACCTCTGTATCCACTTAGGTGCTGCTCAGTTAATAACAGTTTGCTGGTGATCTAAGGATCTCTTGAAGCACAAAGGAAGAATTAGAGGCTAGATTACTACAACAGGTTTTTCTGGGGCTTAAGGCAGAGAACTGGTCAAAGTCTGCTTTTGAGATCTACATCTCTCCATTGTACTCAGGGGTAATGCCAAGGGCGGGCTTGGGGAAACTTATGTAGCCCCCTGTAATCTCCATCGGCCTCACCTGAATATAAGTAAAAAGTGTATTTGGTATGCAAACACAGCTACAGGACAAGTTCCCTAGCCTACTACTTCCAATAGTCTATCACCCCTAAGTCCCTGTCACACAGAAATTTCCATGTCCACTCCCAGCCTGGTAACTGGAATCTTGGATGTTGTCATGGTAAGACCTTCCACAAGATGGCGCTCATAGGTTTTTTAAAAAAATAGTTTATGTTGATTGAGTCATTCTTTTGTTAATATTTTATCGAACACCTACTATGTGCTAGTATCGTTCTAGCAGGTGTTAAAGATGCAGACTGAACAAGACAGACTAAATTCATGGTTTCAGGGAATTTAAAAAGGTTGTGATTTTTACATTCTCAGAGGCAAAACTGCACACTGATAGAAGTTTCCCCATTTATGTTGCTGAAAAATACTTTTGATAGTTCTGCTACATTTCTGACAGTTGCACACTTTTTATTCTCTAGACTGGTATGGCCAAGAGGACTCATATATTCTTTTATTATTTGGCTAGGGAAAAAGTTTCACATATACCTGTCTGTGTAAGCCACTGCCTGACATCCATCCTTTTGCCAGGGCAAGACCAAACTTAGTTTGGATAATTCCAAATTATTGCTGAACAGAAGCTCATCATTCTGGGGTCTCAGCTTTGGATTTATCTGTCCCTTTGAGTAAATTCATGGCTCCTTTTTAAGAACAATTCTGGTTGGTCTTTCAGGTATCTTTGTTGACCTACATCCAAGTCAGATGAGCCGGGCTTTGATCTGGGTGAGAATTTATCATTTGCCTTTCACAGCAAACTGTCAGTCCTTACACTTGTCCCAGAAGACACATACAAAGAGCCCACTCTTGCCAAAGACAAATCTGAAATCATAGCGAAAGAAAGGCCTAAGTCCCGTGAAGTGCCCATTCCTCCAGGTTCAGTAAGCTCTCCGCTTGTTCTCCGTCATTTTAAATTCCCAAAGGCAACATCTTTTAGGACTACGCCAGCTTGGCTGCCTCCGGAAAAGCCTTCACTTAGCTGTGATTGAAGAGTACGCCCTTGATTTTTATTGCAGACGGATATAAAAATGGTCATAAAACAAGTATTTCTGTACTTTTGGCAAAAATATCTGTTAAAGACAGCGTTCGCTTTACCATTCCATGTCCTTTATGTAAGGGTTCATGACAGCCCCGGATTCACATCTAACCACCTGCTTGACTTGACCTTCTACTCGGATGTCCGACAGGCACGTCCCATCGAACAGGGCCCAGACTGAACTCCCGACCTTCCTCCCTCAGGCTTTGTCCGTCGGGAACAGCAGGTCCACTGCTCCGACCGAGTGACCCGGAAACCATCTTGGATCCTTCTTCTCTCTCATTGCACATGTGAGCCCTTGGCAAGTCCCGCTGCCTCTGCCTTGACCACGCATCCAGAGTCTCCCCACCTTCTCTGGGCTGGAACATTTCACAGTGTTCTTCTTACCTGGTCTCCCTGCTCCTGCCCCTTGTCTCCTACATCCACACTCAACACAGCAGCCGGAATAATCCTTTAAAATGTGTCAGGTCCTAACACTTCTCTACTCAAAATCTTCCAGTGGCTTTCCAAATTCTTGGGAAGGAAACAACCAAATTCTCTACTCCCTGTCCTTCCCTGCCCCAACTCTGCCTGGATGTCCTCCAGATCTGCTCCTGACCCGTGTCACCAGAGCCGCATGGGTCTCATGTGCCCCGGTCTCCAGAGCTGTGCTCTTGCTTGTCCCTGTGTCGGAAGGGCTCTTCCCTAGACACCCGAGTGACCACTTCTTCTTCCCTGTCACGTCTCTCCCTGAATGTCACCTTCTCGGTGAGGATTTCTTAGCCACCTGTTAAAACTGCCACCACTCTTTTCGCTCTATACTCTGCTCCAACTTCACCTTCACTTTTCTTTATAGCACTTATCTGGCAGATTATGTATGTTATTTATTGTCTGTCTTGCTCTGCTGGAATGTAAGCTCCCTGAGGGCAGGGATTTTTGTCTGTTTGCTCCCTTTCGTTCACTTCTGTATCCTGGAACCTAGAACAGTGCCTGGGACATAGTAAGTACTTAATCCATGTTATTGAATGTTTGATTAAATTCTCATGGAATTTAGTGTCAGGGGAAAAGATATCTTTTGAGTCAAAGTTGCGTGTCCTCTGGCAACGTTATTGATGTTCTACGTTTTGTAATTTACTTTTTGGTTTTATCATCAGGAAGCTCAAAGTCAAATACAGGAGTTATAATTACTGTCTTATCCGTGATCTCTAACTCAGTAATCTTCCTCTGTACTTTTTTTTTTTTTTTAAGAGACAGCATCTCACCATGCTGCCCAGGCTGGAATGTAGTTGCTATTTACAGACACAATTGTGGCCCACACAGCCTTGAACTCCTGGGCTCAGCTGATGCTCCCACCTAACCCTTCTGAGTAGCTGGGACTATAGGTGTGCGCACTGTACCTGGCTCTATATGGCTTTTATTGCCTTCACCTTTAACTTGTATTTGAACAGCTTTGTGCTTATGTATATCCTCAGGTAGTATGCATGGAACTTATAGGCTTCCTGTAGATATTTGTCAAGTGAATGCATTGTATGCCATTTTAATCCCTTTTGGAAATAAGTGGGATATGAAGAATACATTATTAATGATCTACAGTATGACTAGAAAGTAATGGGCTAGGAAGGAGGGGCAGGTAATTAGGGGAGGGGAGGGCGGAGGGGGAAGTTTTCCACATGGTCTACAGCGGGTCGAGCGTGTATTTGTTATCCGGCCCGAGACTCTTATGCCAGTGAGAAAGGAGATATAGAAAATTTTGCTCTGACAACAGGAATGAACTGGGACCATCTGTGGCAAACTAGGACAAATGGTCACTTTTGGCAATGGTTAATATTTATTAATGATAGTAAAAATGTATTCTCCCTTTTGATCCACAGTCAAGAGTTTATTTAGCCCTTCTCATTACTAAACCTTGTTCAGCGTTTGTTATATATAACAGCAACTCAGAATGGAAGTTGTAAAAAGTTCATTTGTTAGACACAAGTTCCAGAAGTAAGCTTAAGTAAGATTGAGTCCATTGCCAGGGAAAACAAAAGCCACCACTATGAGGCACCATGGGCACTGAATAAGGCTATGTTCCTTTATATTAGAAAAGATTTAAATAAGCAGATTGACTTTTGTTGTTACTTCTTAGCATCCACTTTGGCAGGGCAGTTTTAAAACCTGGAAAAGAGGAAGCAGTAAATAGCAATAGGACCAGAGGGGACAGACCAGAGGATACCAGATAGAATTATTCCCAGGAGCTCAGAGAAATTCTTCTGATTTCCACAGGCACCCCTGCCCTAATACCCTGGGCACTCTTTGAGCCAGGTCTGCTGTCTGCCCAGCCCTGCGTCCG